TAGGTGAATCAACAAGTGCGAACTTTTAACGGTACGTGTGTAAATAGACGTAGGTTTCATATATAGAGAGAACAGTTTTTGTCAAGTACAATGTGCGAGCAACAAGACTGATATACTGCCACAATTCATCAATGTGTAAATAATGGACTTTTGTCATTTTATGCGCAACCGGTTGGATACTATATATAAGTAAAGGAAATACAATCAAGACATCTCCATAAGCTAAAAAGCTTACAACGATGTATTTTACAGCGAAAGATACAGCGAAAGTGTCTATTCTATGTATTACAACTGTGTGAACGCATTTGTCGACTTTTTATTCAGGGGTTTAGATCGACCTTTCGTAAAAATGCCCGAAAAACGATTTAAACCCCTGAAACATGTAAAATTACTCTTCACACCATAGTTTAGGTCAAAATATCGCTGTAACAAATTCCCAGGTCCCTGTGTTTTGGATTTGTTACAGTGATATGACGCGCTGAAATCTATTTCCACGGTGATTTTCTTTTAAAGCGTTTTATTGAACCAGATTTCTCGTGCAGTAATTAGAATATAGTTTATGTCACGAAATGCAATTATCACAAGTGTGTAAACCTCTTCTCACTTAACAGGCCTTATCCAAGGTAATTTGTATTGACGTATAAAGCTAATGAATCATAAAAAGAAGAAAAGAAATTAAAATCTTATTCCTGAACACAGATTTATTATGACTTGCTCTGCAGGCAGTTCCGTATCCACATTCCCTTTGGTACGAATGTGTTCCCAAATGCCAAACTCGTATGTAGAATGTAACCCGTCTGCGAAGACGGGGGTTCAATGCCTTATTAGAATCGTTAAACACAAATAATCTGTTGAGGACATAACATATATATGTTTAATGTCATAGATGATTTTATACGCAATTTCCCATTGTGCTCTTTCAGAACACTTGAGACACTGGTTTTTATTTTTCTAATATTTAGCACCACTTATGAGTTCTAAATTAACGAAATTGTCGTACGATACGGCAACTGTTTACTTAGTTTAAACTTAGTTTTATTCAAATCTTATTGACAATACATTGAAATACAAATTGTATATTCTACAGAAAAGGACACAAAAACAAGTGTCATGACACTTATGTAAATTTGTTACCTGCTTAATAATCAACTTTTAACTTTTCAACACAAACTTCAAGAATAAAGAAATATTTACAACAGAACAAATACGGCAATAGGGGAAGGGGGTAATGGCTTGGTATGCAGTGGAAACCAGCAATAAATAATATATCAATATACATGTGATCATCAGATGGTAATATCGTGAACACGATTCTGTATAATATAACTATGTATTAGTAGAATAAGTGTTCAGCAATGCTGTGAATGGACACTGGGCATGACTGTTAGACATGTTTACTTAACTTAGCTTTCTGCATCAACAAACTAACGATGTATATTGGTACCTCCTCGCTCGTACATGTATTCCTGGTGATTAATTTACAACATGGTAACAGATTAATAGAATCCCTCCCATGTGAGGTATGGATAAGGTAATTAAAACCCTCAGGAGAAAAATATTGAGCAGAAGACCATCGGCTTAATTTTCAAACACCGCCAGAAATGCAGATATCGTAATTTCGTAATTCGTTATTGATCGTAAACTGATACAGTTTATAGATACAACATTTGCATTAAACTTAATTACAGCAAATATTTCCAGGGTCATTCCATTAATACAACATTTAATTATCTACTAAATAATTTGCTCGTAATATGTTGGCTTGATGGACAAATTTTCCTAAATTACACAATTCTTTCGTATTTACAGATGATAGAAATATAACTAATTTAAAGACGGAGGGATTTATTCGATAATAGGGCTTATATATTTGGTTCCTCAAATCATTATACAAGGGCCATTTTAACATGAAATGATATATTCGTCCTCGATGTCATTAAGACACACAGGGCAAGTTCGAAGCTGACGTGGAACATTTCTGTGTCTGCCTGATTCGATAAGAAGACAATGTGAAGATAAATGTAATCTAACAATAGTTTTTTTTATAATTAGCAGGAATTGGTTTTGAAAAATAAGTTTTCAATGCTAAGTGATCTACAACATGCCTGTATAAAACACATTTTGGCGACGAAACAAATAAACATCTCATACTCTTGCTTGAAATTGTCTAACAAACGTTGTTTTACAATATATATAAAATTGTTAACATTTATTATATGTTGGGAAACCAAAATGTCCATTATCTTGGTCTAGTATGCAAGAAATGTTTATAAATATATATATATATGTTGTTCTACCAAATTAAAAAATAATTTTGGTGAATTTTTATTTTCATGTTATAACGGATAAATTTAAAACTTACAAACAGTGCAAAGTAATGCGCTGAATCTCAACATTGAACGACGTGGGGGGCCTGTGGCTTAATGACGTGTTAATAAACAGTCAATGACGTCATTAACGCTGTCTCGCTGCTTGTAGTATAGTTATTTCACATGATGATTTCCATATACAGAATGTTCAGCAACGTTTGAAAAGAATTATACGAACATTTCCTACAATCATTAAAAAAAAAAGTCTATTCACAAAGGAGTATGAAATAAAAAATCAATGTAAGATTTTCCTAAACATTCGCTTCAAAACTTAAACTCCTAATTTGATATTGGTTGCATTTAAATTTCAGTCCAAATGTGATCAGGAAATGATATTTTTAAAACAGTTTGATCTGTGATGGTACAAGTTTCAACAAACACATCGAATTTCATAATCAACATTCACAAGAACGGATTTCTAATTGTTTGTGACAAGGAAGGAAACACTACAATACTTGTAATCGCGACATTTGCTCAGGGGAACCTTGTATTCGTTTTAGATAGAGAAATCAGCCGGCTCTGAGTGTACATTGAAGTAATCTAGATGTGATGTAACTAGCGAGTTTCGTTATATCATTATCACTGCTGATGGAACTCTTATTTACATAACTGATATAAATGAGGGAACTCATCATCACAGATTGTGTTTATTATAAAGTGGTTAACCTGTTCTCATGAATTGTCATCTTTACGGATTCTTTGATTTTGCAAATGACTGGTAAGATCTAATTATAATTAACGTCTTATTATCACGCTTTCAACATATCCACTGCATTTATTAAGTCATTAGTTGCAAAATCTGTAGCAAATGTTTTTGCTTGAACAGTTTTATTTTATGTTACTGGAGTCAATTTGTCTTATCTAAATAACAATTACATAGACTGTATGATTGCTACTTTCTTCACAAATATCAATTTATAAGATATGAACATGGCATTCGTAATAACAAAATAAAATAATTTAACGTTATCTACAAATTTTCTTTTATGGCTTAAGTAAATATATCTGAGAAAAAAGTTTCTGTGAAATCGCTAATTTTCGTGGGTTTGCAATTTCGTTGATTTCGTGTGTAATCTTCATCCACGAATGTATAGGTGGTCCACTGAGAAGTTATAAGTTTGACAAAAAGCTTTTCGCCGTTTGAGTTAGTACTTATAGTCCATGAATTCTTGTACCCACGAAATGGTATTTTGTCGAACCACGAAAGTGAGGCCCACGCGAAATAACTTATTTCACAGTGCTTAAATTTTCTGTTGAGCCTCGAAAACAATCAACCTTCGTTCTAAGCAAAAGAGAATTGGATTATAAACTGCTTGATTACTGGAACTGTTGGAATAAAAAAAAGGGGGGGGGGGATGGAGTTCTTAAGGATCCCCGTCCCACTGCAGACAAAGCTGTAGTTAATTCCAGTGTACCGTAGCTTCCTCTTAAGGATCACCGTCCCTCTCCAAACTAAACTTAAGCTAATTCCAGTGTGCTTTTCGTATATACCGTAGCTTCCTTCTAAAGGATCCCCGTCCCACTGCAGACTAAACTGTAGGTAATTCCAGTGTGCTTTTCGTATAAACCGTAGCTTCCTCTTAAGGATCCCCGTCCCACTGCAGACTAAACTGTAGCTAATTCCAGTGTGCTTTTTGTATATATCGTAGCTTCCTCTTAAGGATCGCCGTCCCACTCTAGACAAAGCTGTAGCTAATTCCAGTGGTGTTTTTTTGTATATATCGTAGCTTCATCTTAAGGATCCCCGTCCCACTGCAGACAAAGATGTAGGTATCAGAAAATCATACCTTGTCGGACTTTTATTAGGAAAAATAAATATGAAACAAGCGAAACATAATCAACAAAGTGTTTTCAATTAAAAAAACAAAAAGCAATAAGCGGGGCTAGACCGGGACTTGAGCCCTGTACTACAGATTGATATAATATCGCTCTAAACGATTGAGCTAAATGTACTTATTTACATGTCTCCCTTCTTCAGCTTAGTTTACTCCGACTGCGTATAAATTAGCGTATACGCAGTGACAAAAGGCTCGGCGGATTGATACCTGTTTCAAATATGGCGCCGTTCACGCTTCAGCAAGGTGACAGTCCAATGACAACCGATGCTTTGATCATTCACCATCTAGATACATAGACCATATTCGGGATCCATTATGTCTAATTATACTACAAAAGAGTGCTGACAAACTTCTTATTTCAAGAATGGACATTCAATCCTTAATTGGTCAACAGAAATGTCCTGGCCAGTGCTACAGTTATATCCAAAATGAAGTTATGAGGAGGTAACTGTAAATAGAAAAAACTCACACTACAATGGGACAGGGATCCTTAATGTCGCTTTAGCTTTAACTCTAGAACTAAAGGTCAAAACTAATTCCGTTGAGTAGGTAGCTCAGGGTTCGAATTTAAATTCAGAGCACTGGTTATTATTTATTTCATCTGTATTATTTGTTATTTATTCATAACAGTCACGAAAGGTATGGTTCAATGCGTTTTAGTAGTTTTTGGCAGTGTCACGGGGATCCTTAAGAATCTGGCTTGTTATTGGTACAACTGGATTAGTGATGACTGAGTAACTGACTTGTATTAATATTGAGAATTAATGTTGAATTTCCTGTTTGTGTGTTGCAGGTTTGTGGCCATTGTTCATCCTATCAAGGCACAGATCCTGTGTAACCGACGCAAGAACGCAATAGCCGTCATGTTAGTCTGGATAGTTTCTATTGGCTGTGGACTTCCCACTGCTATGTACAACCAAGTCATACCGCCTGGATACTGCCAAATAGTGTTCCCAAATCGCATCCGGGATATTCAGATATTCAAGTTTACAGAATTTGCACTGTTCTACTTTGTACCGGTGTGTATACAAATAGCCCTGTACGCCGTCATCGGGAAAAGACTGTACGCCAGTACGGATGAACTAAGCACCAAGTTCCACATGCGGAAGGAGAATAACTGTAAAACGGACCGCGCTGCAGAAACGATCAAGGCGCGGAAGGGCGTGGTTAAGATGTTGGTGGCTAGTGTGATGGTCTATATTGTGTGTTACGCCGCCCCTCAGGTGCTTACGTTTTACAATACCTTTGCTGACCGGCCGTTCCACATGAGCTGGTCATTCGGAGTGTTCACCACAGTGGTTGCAAACATTAATTCCGCAGCCAATCCGGTTCTGTATAGTATATTTAGTCAGAACTTCCGGCGGAACTTCAAGAAATGTTTATTTTGTTTGTGTCTACGTCACAGACGGAAGGAATATATCAGAGCGAGGTTTGACTCCTTCGAGTCGCGTGGATTATCTAGGAAAGTAAGCACTACTACAAAAACTACTATATCAAGATTATGACTTGTAAAGGGCGACAACTCTTGATGATATTCTTTAATAGCTTTAATATTATTGTTGTGAAACGTCAAATTACATCATTAATACATGTATATCGATTCGTTGCGTTCCTGTACTACTTTGCATTCCGTGATCCTTGGACTGTATCATTGTTTACTGTACTTGTTCGTACATCACATTGGAAACATAACAAAAATGCATCACGTGTCATTTCAGATTATACGTGCCTGTGTCTAAAGGTCTTTTGTGTCAATGGTATCGCTTTAGGATTTTCTTCATTTAATTATCAGGAAATGTTTTGTTTTCCAGATCTTTAGATCCGAGACCTAAAGTATGCGTGTGATCATCCCTGTTCTTGTCATATAGACTTTCGTAGAAAAGGAAAACAATTTATTAAGTATTCTATACTCTCATTTCCGGTTTTAACTTATCTCCATCTACTGCACTCTGGCGTTTCATATGCACAGTGACCTCCCCTTAATTTCGTTTATGATTTTACTGTAGCACAGTTTGGTCAGGTTGATTTAAACATATTTATTGCCCCAAATTTGAGCAGAGGATTAGGCACAAGTTATATCAACTTATCAACGCCTTTTCCTCTAATAGAGTACATATTGATATTTACATGATAGCATTTAACAAGGCATACAAACTATATGTGGCCAGGACACTTCCACTGGCCGGGCAGCTCAATCGGTAAGAGCGAAACATAATAATATGAAGTCTAGGGTAAGAATCCCTGTTTAGCCCCACTAAATGTTTACATTAGGGTAAGAATCCCTATTTAGCCCCACTAAATGTTTACATTAGGGCAAGAATCCCTGTTTAGCCCCACTAGGGTAAGAATCCCTGTTTAGCCCCACTAAATGTTTCCATTAAGGATAGAGTCCCTGTTTAGCCCCACTAAATGTTAACATTAAGGTAAGAATCCCTGTTAAGTCCCACTAAAAGTTTACATTAGGGTAAGAATCCCTGTTTAGCCCCATTAAATGTTTACATTAGGGTAAGAATCCCTGTTTAGCCCCTCTAAAAGTTTACATTAGGGTAAGAGTTCCTGTTTAGCCCCACTGAATGTTAACATTAGGGCAAGAATCCCTGTTTAGCCCCACTAAAAGTTTACATTAGGGTAAGAATCCCTGTTTAGCCCCACTAAATGTTTACATTAGGGTAAGAGTCCCTGTTTAGCCCCACTAAATGTTTACATTCGGGTAAGAATCCCTGTTTAGCCCCACTAAAAGATTACATTAGGGTAAGAACCCCTGTTTAGCCCCACTAAATGTTTACATAAGGGTAAGAATCCCTGTTTAGCCCCAATAAAAGTTTACATTAGGGTAAGAACCCCTGTTTAGCCCCACTAAATGTTTACATAAGGGTAAGAATCCCTGTTTAGCCCCACTAAATGTTTACATTAGGGTAAGAATCCCTGTTTAGCCCCACTAAATGTTTACATTCAGAACAATGTTGTTGATTACAACTGGCTTATTTCGTCTAGATTGTTTTCAATGAAGTCCTGCAAGGTTTGGGTTTCTTTGCAAAGAAATATTTATCAAAGCTATAGTCATGCCGAAAACAGTTTCCAATGTATAGCTACCGTTTTTTTGGCAGTGATACGGGGACCCTTTACATCACTTAATACATATTGTTTATTGAATGTGTCTTCAAACAAAATAATAACAATAGAGGAGCGGCACCCTGACATATTCCAGGGGTGCAGAGAACAAAAGACATCGTATCTACTGAAACCCTGAGGATGCATATGTTTATTTGAAAAAGAAAAACGGATTACCAGTCATTTTTCAACGTCCTATTTAATGAACTGTGCTAGATGTAAATCGATTTGACATCGATATAAAAAGACATGTCACAGATTCGATGAAATGACATAGAAAAATGTGCAATATCTAGGGACAATACAAACTATTTCAAGATCAATTTATTGATATTAAAAAAGGATCAAAAAGGTGATTGAGCTTAAAAGGTAAAAATGATTGATATAAACCACAAAGGCCGACGTTGAGATAAACCAGGTATTCAAGATATCGGGGTAATGTTTCAGCTGCATGATCAAGAACAGTGATGATTTTGCAGTGCATTTGCAGTACATGTTATGAAATATTTTATTTTATTACATATAAACATCGCTCCTAATAACAGATCCTGTTATGACGGATAAGAATTAAAAATCTCAAAACGTTTCCGTCAAATGTTAGCAATGGCATCATTACTATGGGAGGCGTATGTGTTGTCGGCTATCATCCGCTTCGACTTTATATAGGAATCAATAAGGCTTTTTAACAGCTTCACATACTTAACCCAAGATAAAAGATATGGTAACATAAATGTTAAAGAAAACGTTTAGTTACATCTCTTAGTTTGCACGATACCCATGTCCCATTTCAAATTACCTTCTCCGATAGTGCCGTATAGTTCCATATAACTGCACTAGATGACCTCCATTTTAGGACCTTTTTTTCTATTGACAGGGGGATGGTCTGGTGAGATAGGTGAAAACACTCGGCGAGCTTCGTGTTTGTCAACTGAAGAACCTTACCCCTAAAGGGTTGAGATTCTCCATCTCACCTCAAGGGGTTGAATTATTCGTTTTCTATTACTTTGTGACCTTGTCATATATATAATGCATTATTATTTTTTTTCATATTATTCCCGACAAGTGATTGGCCAGGAGTTCATCACGTGTCCACCGATAAAACCGTTATTGACTTGGAGCGCGTGATTTTTGTTAAAGGACTGGGTGTTTCTAAAAATAGAATGATGACGTGTCTCCAAACAATGCACCGTCCCGACTCCGAAGCTTATTTGTTGTGGGTTTTTTTCAGATTGCTTACATTACTGTTTTGTAAAATAATAAAACAATTGTAGCCTTTAACTTCGGTCAATAGCTGGATTTACCGACCCGAGAAAAGAGATATTGACCTCGGACTGCGTCCTCGGTTAATATCTCTTTTCTTGGATTGATAAATCCAGGTATCGACCTCAGCGTAAGGCTATAATTGAATAATATCGACGTCGTGGGTTCGATGCATTGTTGACGTGACGACAAACTATTGTTTTGATAGGGGAATCTCCTCGTCTCAACACTAGGGTGAGATTATGATATCTCAGACCAGGAACAGCATGGATACACTTGTCAAGAGTAAGAGAAAGGAAAGTCTATCCTCGAGTGTGGAATTTGGGCTGAGATTGACTCAAAGTTTACAACCTCTGCTAGAATTTCCTTATCCCTACAACTATACATGATAATTATAACTCTAAAATACAGTATCGTATATTGAAAATTACTTACTGGATAAGTTATACATTTTTTCCTGTATTTTTTGCAACAACAAGTTTCCGTGAATCGGCGTATTGATACAGATCATTTGATGCCAGACATTTGATCATGAATCGATATTTATTTTTGCGTAAATTTGCATATTGAAAAGGACGTGGCCAATGAAGCGATGTGTGATGCCTGGAGACGTGTTTTAAAATAGTGCGTACGGTACGAACCTGTTCAGCCTGATGGTAATTACAGAGAAAAGTTCAATACGCTAGGCTTTGGGTCCCCAGTCCAACATTGACGATACGTTTTCTTAATGAGCATATCAAAGATCGGCGATAATGCCACGACTGATTAAATGGAATTCAGGGCTACATTCAGCGTTACAACGTTGGCAAAGTACGTGGAAGACATTTCCGACCCTTTTGTATTTTGCCGCAGGCTTGATGCATCTCTTCTGAAAACGTTTGCTATTTATGTACGCCAGTATAAACACGGCTGATTGTTGATAAATATTTATATTCACAGCAGAGGCACGGGAACAATAAGAAGAGTTATTCATTTAGTGATAAATGTGTGTATAATTGGATGGAAGTCGTGTCAAATAACATATGTTTAATTTGCATTTTATCTATAAAATGTACATCTTCATTTAAATGTATTTCATTACCAATCGCTTTGATTTTTATTGTTAAGTGGATATGAGCGATATGTGGAAATGTATACAAAGTAGATATCAAATATACTTTTTTAGTCACTGGAAAACATGTCTTCGAAATTCAAGGATTTGTGCTTGCTTTTTTTATTTGCACCCAAGAAATATGTCATGACAAAATTGAAGCCGCAAAAGCAGCCTTTTGACCGGTTTCAGATTGAAATAACTGACAAATCGCTAGGCTTACACATGTTCTTTGAAGATCACAGAGGAGCGAAACCCACTTTTCAAAAACCAGTCATTTTACCGTTACGCTACTGAGCATTTTATTTCAAAGGATCAAACTATTTTGTTTTCTATCACCCACACAATGGCGTGTACTGAGCGTTCGATTTCGTCATGACAAATTCGAAGGGTGCAGAGAACCTAAGGGAGCATAATCTCTGGGATTTTTAAGGATTTTTAGAACCCTTTTCTGCCTCGTACGTCATGTCCCCGTCAACTGATTATATGTACAACGTCATGGATTTACAAACGACGATTCAGGCCGCATTGAATTCCTTACAACTGATAAAATAGCTAATTGATTTGCGATAATCATAATTCCATCTTAAAAGATTTTTCCCCATCTTTCTGATATTATACTAAAATTGTGTTTTGATATTGTTCGAGTTTAACGATCTCATATTAAGCATTCATTACAATATTAGCATTAAATTAATGACAGGCGAATCTTATTGAAGATGATGCTTGTTGTTTATTAAATGGTTAATTACCTTGGGTTTTTTAATTACACGTAACCTTTCTGGCGTTATAAGATGGAACTATGCGTTTATAAATACAATTGCAGTAGAACTGTTGTTTCATCTGCATATATACCAGGTACCCTGACGCGACGACAAAGGATTTGGAGACGTTTAATTTATTCACTGATTGGAGAAATTAAAACATATTTTCAGACTAAAAACTCAATTAGTCGCAGATTATATATTCATGAAAAGAAATAAAAAATGTATTTGAACAGAATGGGTTTTTTTTTATGAAATGTTATAAGCTATGTTATCACATTTAACTTAGGATTCACAAAATTATATTTTTGTTTAACATAATTCTGTATATAAAACGTCATTTTAGATAAACCCCCAAATGTTTTAATTTCTATTTTGCTTGCGCAATTGGTTGTAGATAAATGTCTAAAATGTTTCTGAACAGTGTCAATGACTGACGTCTGCAGCTGTGTACACGTTATGTCGATTTCTATCCATGTTTATATCATCACGTTATTTCCGGTACGGTGACGTTTTCATACG